GCTATAATTCATCCTTAAAATTTTTTAAAAATTTGACAAAAAAATTGTTGCCCGGATACTTTTGGCAGGTTGGTGTAGTATATTGTCCCGAATTATAGTGTTTTGTATCACACAATAAGTACTTCTATATGGAGTAATTTTTGCAGAGATGATCGCCCCAAAATTTTATTAATCACTCAGCAATTTATCATCATACATATCAAATTTATTATTATTTTATCATATCAAAATGTCTACATCCAAACCATCTAAAGAATTATCAGAAATATCTTTTGATTTTGATCCATCAGATGAAAATAGTAATGTTACTTATTACGATGATTTATATTTCGATTCAGATATTTCCGAATATAATACTGAAGGTGAAGGCGAAAGTAATATAGAAAAAGGATCTACTACTAATTTTACAGGTTCCTCTATATATCATATATATATATTTTGTAAATTATTATTTCTAAAACTAATTAATTTAAATTTCTATCAATATATATATATATATATATATATTTATATTTAAAGTCGGAAAAAAGGAAAATTTAGAGAATAAACGAAAAAATCAAAAGAAAAAATTATCACCCGATGAATTATTGTATGATCCTCATATGGATGAAGATGATGAAAGGTGGTTAGAAAATAAAATAACTCGTTAGTAAATCCTTTCTCAATAATGTATAAATTATTTAAATTTATTATTCATCTTTATTAATTCACTCTTAATAATGACTTTAATAATTACTTTAATAATAATGACTTTTTAATAATAATCAAATGTTATATATTTATTTAGAATATAATAATCCCTCAACAAAGGCGGAAAAGAATAAAAATAGTAATAATTCCCCGGATATTATTTCAGGCACTGATGCAATAATCTCATGTCCCATGTGTTTTACTAATTTAAGTTATCATACTCAAAGGTAAAGAAAATAATTATATTTATTAATTATTTATTAATTTAGAATTATTTATGATAAATTAATTCTTTTTTTTTCTTTTTTTTTTTTTTTGGAAAATAATATAATAATATAATTTGGAAAATGTAAAGACATGAAATATACGTACATCAATATCGAGCAATATTTGTTGAAAATTGTAATGTAATTCAATCAGAACAGTTGATTTATCAAGATAGACCTCGTCCCACAAAGATTAATAAAAGAGGAAAATCTTCGTCGAATCAACAACAACAACAACAGGATCAGGAACAGGAACAACAATACCAACAACTCCCACCATTTCAACAGCAACAAGAGCAACAAGAAATTTATCATCTTGTAGTGTGTGCGATTTGTGGAACAAAGGTGGCAGTTATAGATCAAGAAGAAGTTTATCATTTCTTTAATATCATCGAGTCATGAATTATTTTTTTAGTGGCAATTATTATTACTATATCGAATCTTATATCGATTCATTATATCGATTCTTATATCGATTCTTATATTGATCATTATATCGATTCTTATATCGATTATTATATCGATCATTATATCGATTATTATATCGATTGTGACAGTATTATTTTTGATTCATATTTTGAATTGTATATTTGATTGGAAAATTATCCTTCCCAAAATAATAATCATTTCTTTAATTAAAACAATTACAAATTGTTATAAAATTATACAAATTGATGTGATTGTTATGAATGAATGGCGGCTAGAGGATAGTAGGGGACTAGAATACTAGAATATGATATATATTACGAAAGAGAAATTGCCGAAGGCTAGGGTCATGTATATATTCTTTTAGCAAAAAATAGGAATGAAAATAAAAAAAGTAAGCGAATTCAATTGTATAGTGTTTCGAAATTAATAATAGGTTATCAAAGAATTTTAATAATACGTAATAATGCATTACGTAATAATGCATTTAAAATAATTTGAACATATCAGATTATAATAAATTAGTACCAGTTAACTTGGGACCTCCAAAGTGATACTGTAAAAGCAAAGTTATAAAGAATTTAATATCTCAAATAAAACCAGTAAATTTTAAAAGATGGAAGGGAAGCCCAGCGTACTTGCAGAGATCTATATAATATATATGTTTTTCTCTTATGAGAATTTATGTTTACATTTTGTCTCATCAACGAAATCAATAGATATATTTTATTCCTATTGTATTTTCATATCTAATATAATGAAGAAGTTTGAATTTTATTATCAAAAATTATAAGCAATAATTATTTTTTTTCCTTTTTCGTGCAAAGAAAATCTTGCCAAAAAGGAGCATAATGGAGTATAATAAAGTATTTTTGGGAATTCTTTACATGAACATAAACATGTACGATAATATGATAGAACTTCTAGAACAATAAATTATTCTTCCATATTACAATTCAACTTTTTTTACATTAATTAATAAGCACATTATGAATTTTTTTTTTTTTTTAAAAAAAAAAATGATAACACTTAAAAATTAACACCACACACAAACACACACACAAACGCGCGAGAATAATTTTTTGTAAAATTAGAATTTTTTTTTTTTTGAAATATACATTTTTTGTATATATATATATTTATATATTTATATGTTATTTATAATAATCGAAAAAAAATTTTTGTAAATATGAAAATTGATTTTGGAAAAAAAGAAAAAAAAAAAAAGAGAAAAAAGTAGAGTAGATAAAAATAATACTAGTAGTTGTTGTAGTTGTAGTAGTAGTAGGAAAAAAAATAGATAAGTAGAGAGGGAGAGAGAGTAAAAAGTAAAAAGTAGATGAGTAAAATAAAATAATAAAAATAAACTTCGAAAATTTTTAATAATTTTTTTTTGTTATTTTTGTAATTTTGTTATTTCTTCCAAATAAAAATTTCCTCAAAAGATTTTCTCTCAAAAAAAACACGGTAAACTTGAGTAAGTGAAAAAAGAATAGGATAAATGAATAGAGAATAAAAAAGGGTCGTAAAATGATTTAAAAAAAAAAATAAAATAAAGAGAAAAAGAAGAAAAAAGAAAAAAGAGGAAAGAATCAAAAAATTTTAATCCAAAAAAATATACATCTTATTTTTTGCTTAATAATGATGATAATAATCATTCATTTCGTTGTCGATTATTATTTGTCGTTGTTTCCGCTGCCGTCGTAGTCGTAGTCGTGGTTGTAATATTGGTAAGTGTTGAAGATGATGGTGCCTTTGTTGTTGTTGTTGTCATCGCGGAAGTATTTGTATCCGTTGTTGTTGGTGACGGTGGTGATGATGATGATGATGACGATGACAATAAAGGAGATTTGGGTACATGATCCGCGGATAATTTATCATTACTATTAACATTTTTATTATTATTATTATTAATCTGTGACGGTGGTAATGGTTTCTGTGACGGTGATTGTTGAGGTAATTGTACATTATTAGTAGTAGTAGTGGTAGTGGTAGTGGTAGTAGTAGTAGTTGGTGTTGTCGATTGATGATTATTAATATGCGTTGATGATGAAACCGCTATTGCTCCTCCCCCTCCCGCTGTTGTTGTTGATGTTTTATCATTATTATTATCAATATTATTTACTCCATTACTATTATGAACAACTTGCTGCTGTTGTATATGTTGTTGTTGTTGTTGTTGAGCAATTTGTTGTTGATGATGTTGTTGTTCAGTATCTGAATGATATTCATGTGTTGGATTATTGTTATTATGATATAAATGAAATCCATCTACGTATTCTTGTGAATGATAAGCGGCAGGTGACGTGAGTGCATCGTGTTCCATATTCGAAGAATTAGTATTAGTTGATTGAGGAACTTCAATTTTCATAAATGGTTTACCATTATTATCACCATTATTATTATTATTGTTAGTATTTGATGTAGTAGAATTTGAATTATGATTATTATTACTATTATTATTATTATTGGTTGTAGTATTATTAGTATTAGCAGTTGTGGTAGGAGTAGGAGTAGAAGTTGAAATTGGACGTGATTCGAAACTAGTAAATGCTGATTGAGGAGTTGAATTAGGAGAAGTAGAGGAAGTGGGAGTTACACCTTCCATATGCATTTCCATTGATGTTCCATGTTGTTGATGTTGTTGTTGTTGTTGTTGTCCTTGTCCTTGATGATGATGTGAATGATGTGGATCCATATTTTGTATATTTGTAGTATTATTATAAATTTCAGGATTTTGTTGTTGTTGTTGTTGTTGTGATTGTTGTTGATCTCCTGAATCCGAAGCAACCATATATTGTTGATGATGGTGATGATGATGATGTTGCTGCTGTTGTTGTGGATGAAATCCTGGTGGTGGTGCTTGATGTGGATGTGGTGGTGGCGGTGGTGTAGCTGGTACCGCCGTTGGTTGTCCATTTGGTCCCATCATTATTCCACCTGTTGCAGCTGCTACTGGTGAAAAACCGTGAAATGGTGGATATTGTCCATAAGGTGTGGGAAATGGTGATCCATTAAATTCTGGTGGCATCATTGTTGGTGCTGCACCATTAGGTCCTTGAGGATGAGGTGAAAATCCCATATGATGACGATCATTAGGAAATGCTGGATTCATAGGTATAGGATTATATCTTTCATGATTATCTGCATAATGACCGGGTGATCTACCACGTACAACTAATGGAGCTGAAGTTGACGATGCTACTCGAATTTGTTCCCCATTTTCTATTTGTGCATAAAGGTCAACCATAACTATATAATATTGTTGAGCTGCTCGACGTTTACCATTATTAGCTGTGGCTGTTTTAAATTGAATACGTTCAAATGTAACAATATTTGAATTTGATCCGACTGAACTTAAATTTAAATTACCCCCCGCTCGAATCGGTTTTGGTACCGGAACCATTTGTGGTCCTTTATCACGTTTCGGCGTATGTTGTACTAATTCAATTTTCTTATCACTATTAGATACTCTTGCCGTAATACCCAATAAGAATCCAGTAACACCATGAAATTGACCATCAACTTCAAGTAAGCACGGTATTTCGGCTTCACTTATGGTATGAGTAGAAGTTGAGATAGAAAATGCGCTACTAATTTGAAAATAATTCCTTCGGTAGCACGTCCAATCGTTATCTGCCAAGAAGAAACCACGATCTACTTTTGAATTAATTCGAAGTTTATAACTATATAATGTTAATGATTAATAATAAAAGTTATAATAAGTTAATAAGTTATAAATAGTTTTATATAGATTATACGTCGATCATACGTTGATCATATATCTGATCATACATCAATCAATACCTAATAGTTCTATCCACGCTATAAAGATTATAATGTTGAGTGGTTTGAGAGAAGAATGGACCGGCATCTTGAGGGAAACCCATGGTGTCAGCTCTACGTTTTCTTACGGCTATATTATTATTATTATTGTTATTATTATTATTGTTATTATTATTATTGTTATTATTATTATTATTATTATAATTATTATTTTTGATATTATTATTATTATTGTTATTTTGTTGTTGAAATGATGTAACATGAAATGATGATGTAATAAAAGTAGGACGATTATCAATTATTTTAATAATATTATTATTGTTATTACGACGATTACGATTACGGTTGCGTTTGGAATTAGAAGTAGGAGGCGGTGATTGATTATTTGAATTTATAATAGAAGTGGGAATCGAAATTGGAGAAGAAACGGAAATAGAAGAAATAGTGGGAATAGAAGTAGAAGTGGGAGAAGATTCAGAAGCAGAAACAGAAACAGAAACAGAAACAGAAGAAGAATTATTATTAGGACCATTACCACCACCACCATTAATTGGAGTTCCGTTTTGTCGTGGAGTTATTGTAGGCGCTGAAGGCATTGATACAAATCTAAAAAAAGAGATTTATATTATTATTATTATTATAATTATTAATTATTATTATTATTATAATTATTATTATAAATAAATGAATGGATCAGAAATGAGTGAATTAGAAAATTCTTTAAATAAAGACCAAGTGCACGCACGCATTTCATTTCATTTTTTTCACTCTCTACTACTCATCGTATTCCCTCTCGATTATTATAATTATTATAACTATTACTGCTCATCATATTTAATTGATTTTGTTTGGTTGATTGATTTGATAAACGAAGAAATTAAAATTTTGAAAATAAGTTGTGAAAATAAAATTGTGAAAATAAATTGTGGATATAAAGAAAATAAAAAGGGATGGAATTTATAAAATCTCTTTATAATATCTTTATATTAACGAAGTTAATAAATAAATAAATATATGAAGGAATTATGAGGGAATTGTAATGTATATATATTTATATGTAGTGACGAGTCACACAGAAATTAAACCCACACACACAAAATTCATAAATAAGAATATATAAACGTAAACAAAATAGTAGTAAATAAAAAGAGAAGCGAAAGGGAGAAGAAGAAAGTGTAGTGGTGTTGAACCAAAAAAAAAATATGTGTAAGGTAACACGCGGTATGGAAGAAACATCAACTTGCATAACAAACCATAAAAAAAACCAGTTTGTTACCAAACACAAAAAAAAATGATAAAAATATATATAATTATTAAAATATAATAAAAAAATAATAAAAATAATAAAACGCGCGGTTTTGACTTACTATGACTTACTATGACTTACAATGCTCGTTACATGAAAAAAAAAGTTATCAAAAAACGTGCGTGCACAAAGACACTTTGACATACGTGAAATGTGTATATATATAGAATATAAAAACTTGTGTTATTTTTTTTTTTTTCTCACTTACATTGGTTGTGAATGTATTTGACCTTGAGTGGTTTGACCTTCGTAAGGAGAAAAAGGTTGAATAAAATTTTCAGGAGACATTCCATTTGACGACATTGAAGGATGCTGATGGTGTGGAGAAGGTGTTACTTGAGGTTGTTGAATGGTCCACTTTTCTTCAGAAAGATTCATGGTTTTTTATTATTATTATATATATGTATTTTTTTTGTTTGAGACAACTATTAATAATGGTAATAATAAATAATAATAACAAATAATATCATTAATATTATTATTAATACTATAATATTTAATAATAATGATAATGATAATGATATTAATAGTAATAACAAATGATAACACAATAACTAATAATTTAGGAAGAGAAGACGAAAGCGAAAATACTAACGAAGAGAATAATTTTCAATTAGACTAATGTGTATACTATTATTATTATTATTATTATTATGATGTATATTATATTGTGTGAGAAGAAAGTGGATATGAGGATATGAAGGATATTGATATGTGATTATGTGAACCAAAAAAAAAAAAAAAAAAAAAAAAAAATTTTTTTAGAGGGCGGATTTTTGGTTGTAGGTAATATCTATATATACATACGTATATATATACGTATATATATATACTAAGAATTCGATTTATTTTTCAGCGGAAATCATTTTTTTTTTTAATAAATCTAATTTAAAAAACCTCGTAATAATTCGAATAGTTCAAATAATTTGAATAATAAATATTAATTAATTAATAATAATAATAATAATAATAATTATTATTATTATTTAACATTTAATATTTAAAAAAAAAGGTTTAATATTTTTTAATATTTAAAATAAGAAAAGAAAAAAGGATAGATATTATAATAATAATAATAATAATAATAATAATAATAATAATAATAAATGATGATGATGATGATAATTAAAAATAATATTTAAAGGATAATAATATTAAGCATTCATACAAAAAATAATAATAAAATAATAATAAATGATATGAATTTTTTCGCTTTCAAATTTAAACTAATAATTACACAACTTTTTTAACACTTGAACAGACTTAACACTATTAGGGAAATTATTTGAACATAATTTTTTTTGTGACTGTTACTCACCTTTTTTTTTTTTTGTCAGAACTCAGAGAGGTGTGTAAGGTAAGATATTAATAGTTGTTTAATAGTGTGTGTGTAAGTGTGTATGTTTTGTGTTTTTGTGTTTTTTTTTTGTGTGTAAGTGTGTAAGTGTGTGTTTGTAAGAGTGTGTTATGTGTAAGTAATTATAATTAAAATTAATAAAAAAAATTTAATAAAATTGATGTCGTTTGATATTAATTTTTTGTTGTTGGGTTTGTTGGGTTGGGTGGTTGACAAGTTAAACGAGATACAAATTGATATGAACGGATAAAAAATGATATGGTTAAATAGTAATTTAAATAATAGTAAGAATAATATTATTAAGTAATAATAAGCAGTAATAGATATGTACGTTCCGTATGAATGTTTATGTGTGTTGTGTTAGTGTAGCCATAATTCATAGTAATAACCAATAACAATCATTTGAAGTATTTTTTTTTTTTTTCAAGATTATAAGATTATAATATTATTTATTCAATTATTTTATTTATATAGTTATCTATTATATATATATATATATATAACAATAGATATCTGATCTAATAATTATAATATATATAACATAATATTTAATTTTGTATTGATTGTATTGAGAAATATTTGATATAATTCTTTTCTTTTTTGATTGGTCACGAAACCTGAAAAACTGTAAAAAAAAAAAATCAAAAATCCATCATTGAAATCATTGAAACCCCTAATCTTCTCAAAATCAAGTTCTAAACAGGTCATTGCATGTAAAGAAGAAGCGTGACTTAATGGTGCCCCTTTGTCACACATAAAAAGGTTCTTATTATTCTATATTATTCTATAATATTCTATTCTATACTTTCTATATTTATTTATTTATATTACTTAAAAATATCATGTATATCAATGTACAGTATTTTATGTATTATTTATACTTGACCTATCAAGTATTAGTATTTTATTATTTTATACTGCCACACGACACGGGAAGTAGTCATAAGTAGCCCCGGATGCATTAGTTATATCCGGGGGAGGGATAATTTCTTATTATAGTATGATTACTTTGATAATTTATACTTGATATAATTGTAAAAGCTTTGTCACATATATATATTTTAGATTTCCGAGGAAAATTATGAGAAAATGAGAAAGTGTACATGTATTATATTATATGTCATCATATTCCTATTTTTTTTCTCATTTACTTTCTCCATGTAACTTTCTCCATAATGTTTACTTTCTATATACTTTAAAAAGAATAATATAGGTAAAATTTGGGTAATAAGGAATTTATAAGGACAATAAGAATAATATAATTGATTCACAACAATATTTGTATTGTATTACGGTTGTTTGTATTACTAAAGGGAAATTTAAAGTATCATCAATGCTGTTATTAAATGCGTGTTGTGTATCTGTATTTGATATTTGGTTTCTTTCTGTGTAACTTTTTTTTGTCATTATTCAAGTTAAATAATGATCATTGAATATCCAATTTAACATATTAAATTTTCAAATATATACATTATATTATAATGTTTTCAATTTTTTTGTATTGTTATGCTTTATCAATTGTTTTTTTTTAATATTAAAAGATCGTGCGTGTGTTTCACAAGAATTAACATTTTGCCATTATCACCTTTAACTGATGTCTGTGTGTACACTGTATGCTGTATGTATATGTAAGTGTGGTGTTTCATTTGTTTTATATTTTTATTTGTTTTATATTTTATTTGTTTTATATTTTTTTCTGATTACTCTCAATAATAATAATATATTATTATTTATTAATTAAGAGTTCTGCTACTTAAAATTATGAGTATCACGTGTTATTTATTGTAGAAAGAATTCGCGTGCGACAATCTATTCAAATAATGCAATGGTCTTCTACTCAGGCAAAGGACTCACGGGTAATTCTTCGACTTTTATTTCTAACTGAACTCACGATAATTGAGGAAATGTATCATTAGTCATTTCGATCTTTGTCATTCTCTTTTTTATGGGTTACCAGTTACGCAGTTGCGTATTCGATACTCTTCCGAAAATTTATTTTTACTGGTAATTCCTGAATTTAAACAAATCAATGTGCGAGAACGTGAGAAGGAAATCTTTTTGCTAGATATAGAGAAAATTTGAGAACTGGTATAATAGAAAAGATGAATATGTTCCTTGTTTTTTTTTTATCAATGAAAGGGGTTATCCTTGACGAGTAAATCCCGGATGGCATCATACGCGATCCATTTTCCATCCTTCTTTGCTTTTTTTTTTTCCTACTCTTCATGTTCACTTAGAGTGATTTGAAAAGGGATACATATATATATATATATTAATAATATCAATAACTCCCGTTTTTTCAAAAGATCAATCACAAGTTCGAAGATATTGAAGATATTTCAATACCTGGACGTTCGATAATTCATCTAAATGTACATGTTCTGAAATTGATGATCCGCAACTTTTATACGTAGAGCAAATGAAAATGGTAGGTGAAGAGATTCAAGACAAATTCCAACCATCACTAAACGAAAAGGCTTAAGAGAAAAGAATACCAGAGTCGGCAAAAGTATAATTAAAATTTTTTGATTCTTTTATAATTTTTTTTTTATCGATCCAATGCTAACTTAGAGGTTGTGTAAAAACAAAAGTTGCAGAAGTGATGTAGTAGTTTGGGGTTAAAAGTCCTTTCTAATGTTTCTGTTTATTGAAATTTTAAGATATCACTTTATCAAGAATGACCTAATTGGAATTTGAAAGGTGACAAATAAATCATATTTAAAACCTCTCGAAATATTTTCAATGGGTCATTTGTTGAGGCAGGAAGGCTGATCAAAGTAATCACTCAATCAAATTTTAGCAAAATACTCGATCATTCCTGAGTGAAACATTATGGATTTTCTAAATGAATGTGAACTTGAAGATTTGTTTAAAAGATAGGAATTTTATCTTTAAGTCTATTGAGATCATTTGCCTGATAATGAAGTAGTGTTAGGCACATGTCAAATTATCAAAAAAAAATTTTTAACTTAAATTGTTATTTAAGTACAAAACATACAGTATGAGAAAAATATTTACATAAAATAATAGCAGTGCACAGGATCAATTTAAGAAAGAATTATTCAAAGAAATTTTTCCTAAAATATCTAAGATATGTTACAAAGACCCAGTTATAAAGAAAAATAATTGTATTTTATGAATCAAACGATTTTAATAAAGCAGGGCAGAGATTCTATTTTGGTAGATCGCATTTGTTTTTGTTAAATCGTCACGATACTGATACTATTATGATGATTCTATTTAATTCATTTACGATATATTATATATTATATAATATATATATATATATGTATCGTAACAAACAACCCAAATAAATTTAAGGAAGAGAAAAGAGAAAAAAAAATGTACAATATATATACATGATATGAAAGTATATAATAATAACAATAAATATCAAAAAAAGAAATTGATAAATGACAAATTATAATATTTTATAATATTTGATTATATTTTCCGAAAGTGTGATGACAATCACATATGATATATATTAAAAGAGAGTAAATGTAGTAAATGTAGTAAATGTAGAAAGAACAAATATAAAAAATATCCAAAAGGTTTAATCTGGTTAACTATTTAATCTATTAACAATATTAATAATAACAATAGTAATAAAAATAATAATAAATTTGTTTTTTTTTGTTGCACCCATTACAAAAAAAATCACAAATATTGACCCTTTTTTTTCCTTTTGTTTCAAAGCTTTCCTACTGCTGATTTTTGATTATTGTAAAGAATGAAATAACCCATACATCATCTGTCTGTTATCAATATGGAAATATATAAATATATATATATGTATATTTGACCGTTATGATAAAAGATGACAAAAGATGGGATTGCGGTGGTAGGAAATAATTATGGGAAGTGGAATGAGAAGTTGGTGGGTGGTGTGAATAGTTAATTTTATTACCTCCCATTTTTTAAAATTGGTAGAAAATTGGTAGAAAATTGATAAAATTACTATTGTTCTCAATCAATCATCTTGATCCGTTAAAAATTTGGTGTAATGTTCTTGTACACAATCACCACCTTTCTGTGGATCAAATGTAAATTTATAAACACTTCCATCAGCACAAATTACTATAATAAATATATAAATAGATTAATATTGTTATTAATATTATAAATAGATTAGTATTGTTATTAAATATTTAAATATTAAATATATAAATATATAAATAAATGCTAACCAATCACGGAATTTCTATCTTGTCCAAAGCCACAAATGCATCGACAATCCGTCATCAGTTTAAACTGTGCAAAAGACCATTCTGATGAAAAATACTTTGGAAGAAGGTCTTTCATAAATGATAGACTATAAATAAAACAAATGAAATTTATAAATAAAATAAACAAATAATAATAATAATAATAAGGTTAAGAAATTTAGAAATATATTTATTTATATAATTTATGTAAATACCTTGATTGTCGATTACCACTTGGCGATGGTGGATTTAAATTATTACTAATAAAATTAAAAAGTTAAAAATATTTATTAAAAATTAATTAATTATTTATTTATTTATTAAAATTAATTTTATCTATCATTGATTACTTACTTGACTACAATTTCACCATAATAAGGACCCCCATTATTTGGGGATTGACTTAAACCATTATCCATTGAACTATCTAAATTAAAAATATGTACTGTCCCTTTATCAGAAGATACACATAGACGTTTCGAATCTTGACTGAATGCAATACTATATTATAATATATATTATGTGCGAAGATATAAAAAATATAAAATAATATAAACCAAAAAAAAAAAAAAAAAATTTTCTCATATACAAATAAAATAAAAAACCTATATATTTCTGCTCGATCTACGCCACGCCTTAGTTCGTTCAATAATTTTCCTGATGATGTATCAAATACTCTTATCAAAGTACCCTATAAAATATAAAACAATTGATTTTTAATAATAATAATAATAATAATGATAAATAATAATATTAATAATTAACAATGAACAAATAAAAACATACTTTTTCACTTGCACTAGCACATTTACTACCATCTGCATTAACTGCCAGACAACTCAACTTCCCTGTATGTGCCGGAATAATACTAACATTGGTTGTCATTACCGTTGTACTACCTGAATTTGAACTTTTTATTTTTGACAAACTTGGTCTTCTATCTATAACTGGATGTTGTTGTTGATCTAAAGGTAAAGAAAAAAAATATCTATGATTTGTAAAATGTTAAAATAATAATAATAATAATAATAATGATGATGATGATGATGATGATGATGATGATGATGTTGTTGTTGTTGTTAATTATTATTATTATTATTACTTGTTACATACTTGATACAGCCGTGATAGCATGTAATGAATTAAGGTCAACAATTTGAATGTGACCTTTTTGTCGACCCGGGAATGCTAATATGGCATGTTCCGGTAACGACGAAAGAGCAACTATTCCTATATTATATAAATTATATTAGAAATTGTATCATAAATGTATTATTGATTAGAAGATGCTAAAAAGTTTTCAAAGAACCTTTTTCATTATCTATTGTTTCAAAGGTATGAATTTTTCGAGGTTGAGCTTCAAATACGTACACAAAAACTTTATTAGAAAGGATAACTACAATTCTAATTATTGAAATTATTTTTTTTATGATAAAAATTATTTATAAATATTTATAAATATTTATAAATTAGAAAGTAGAATAATTAATAATCTAATATCATAATATAATAATATAATATAATATCATAATATCATAATATCATAATATCATAATATTATATAATATAATAATATCATAATATTATATAATATAATAAATATCATAACATTATATAATATAATAATATCATAATATTATATAATATAATAATATCATAATATAATAATATTATAAAATATATAAAAGTATAATACCTATCCCTTCTTAATTTTACATTTTTTACTTCACTTCTAAATTCTAATTCACTTAGTCCTTTATTTTTTGAATCATCCCATATAATTACTTTATTTGGTGGATGTTTTGGATTCTTTCCACCTCCTACTAAAGCGAGATAATTACATCTAAATAACATCTCAACAATTGATATTCCACCATCATCAAAAGCTAAAATAAAAATGTATACATAGAATGAAAATTAGTTATACATAAAGATCACGGGAATGGAATTCAGATATTTTATATTATATATTTTTATATATAAATAAAAAATAATAAAATAATTAATATTAATAATATTAATAATAATTTATAATCTTAATTTATAATCTTAATTTTTATAATTACTTTTACGCATTTTCTCTTTCAAAGGATCACAATTATAAATTCTAAACCCATTATCTAAGCCTGCAGCAAAACACCCAAAATCTTGGTTAAACCCAGCGTAAAGTAAACCGGGTGCATCAGCTGAAGAAGAGGAACTAGAAGGTCGGGATAAATTCATTTTTTTAAAAAGTTTAAATATATAGTCTAAAAATCAGAATATACTGAATATAATGAAAGTTTTTTTCTTTAAATATAAAATAAATTTTTAAGTAATTAAATTATCATAGGTATTTATAAAATAATCCATGTTCCTCATGTGATCAGTACGAAAAATTAACTTTATCAAATTTTATTATCAAATAAACGCGATTGAAGATTTAACACAATTGTAATTATTAAAGAGTTAGCAACATGCATACCAATTGTATAATTAACATAATAAGAATGAATTAACAAGAATAATTTGATGCTTTTCTATATATAATTAGTTAGTTTTTGCAACTTGCGGTGGTTAATTGATCAAATGTTCAAATGAAATAAAAATTATTGGACATCCTATTTATGAAATTCTATTTATAAATTGGAAATTCCATAAATTTACTGCCTATACTAAGAATAAATCAGAAATCCTATATATATATGGTCAGTTTCAACTATTGAACCCAAAGAAAAAATATAAATTCCCAAAATTGACCTTGAAATATTCTTTCAAAAAAAAAAAACATATAATTTCATGTAATAATTTTTTTAGTATAATTCAGACTATACATTATGTTATCTACCTTTGAACTCAATTAATTAAATTTATTTGTGTCATGTGTTAAATTTCATATGATCAATTTCAACAAGAAGTGATTTTTACTAAATATTTTTTCTACTATCAAATTTTGTAAAGAACCAATAAAATAATTATAAATCTCCTATTTTATTCTTTTAAATTGACAATTGAACTTTATAATTGCAGTTGAATTATCTTTTTATAATTCTACTATAATATGACTGCAAATTAATTTTATTTCACACTTGTATTAATTAATTCTAATTAATTACTTATAAATTTTATTTTTATATTAAGAAATTTTGATCTTAGTTAACTAAGCTAACTAAGTTGATTTTAAAATATAAGCTTCACTGGTCAAAAATTTATAAATACTACACCTATCAGGTACCAAATAGGTATAGTATTTAAAATTTTTGACTAGTGCTTATACTAGTCAAATACAAAAGAATCACTATACTGAATGGTAATTTCTATATTATAAATTAGTTAAAAATTGATAATAATTAACCATCCTATTGTATCCTATATTATAAATTAGCAAAAATCAGAATTTCAGTGCCTTTTGTATTTGATCTATGTTACACAAGTCAAATATCAAAATTGAATAGATTATAGCTATTTTAATTTTAATAATATATATTTTATTCATTTATATAGAAGTGTAATTCATTCTTAACTTTAAAATTACTTAATGTTATTTTTAATATTATTTAATTTAAATAAAAACTTTTATATGTAGTAATAATAATTAATTATTTATAATTTGTAATTTATAAATTTTTTTAATAATTATATAATCCAGTACAAAAAGATAGATATTTTGAAAATGATCATTGTCAATAGGTTATAATTAAAATCCTATATTACTTTAATAATTACAGAATTTTTTTTATTTAATGTATACCAATAACCAGGGACAATGATTTCTTGTAATTCACAGAATACTGCAGAATTTTTCTTAAATACATCTAAGTACAGAAATTACTTATGTACATTACAGAATATCACAGAATGTGAAATTTTAAAAAATTTTATAATTAATATTACAGAATTACATGATTTATAAATGATCAATATAAAAAAATTAAATCTAGATCTTATACAAACTATGGCACCTTTGTGAAAAAAGAAAATTTCTATAATTATCCATATAAATAAACATCCTGGTACTTTTAGAAAAGATAAATGAATTATGTTTTGTAATTATTGTGACCTTTCTATTGAATAGAAATTAAAATCTACAGTTGATAGACATTATCTTTCAAAAAGACATATTAATAAAAAAGAAATTTTTGAAAAAAATAAATAAACAAAAAAACAAGTAACCATTCTTTCTATTAATTCAACATCCGAATCAAAAAAAGAAGTTTTAGAAGACTTAATTAAAGCATTTTCATTTGTAAATATTTCTCTTAAAAAAGTTAATCACCTTATTCCTTTTTTTAAAAAACATCTCAAAGAAAAAGGTGAAATTTCTTAAGCTCCTACACTTTGACAAATACATTTGTCACATATTTTTAAGAAACATTTTTACACTTCAAAATTATTTTAATCAAAAATCTATAGCAATTATAATAGATAAAACTATACATGTTTTCAAAATTGATTTTAGATTTTTGAAGTATTTTGACTTTTTGAGATTTATGCAGAATCTATTCTATATATGAAAATAAAAAAAGTATCCAGTTATATATATATTTAATCAAAGAATAAATCTGAGTAGTCAAAAAATTTTAGGTTTTAAGTAAAATAATTTCATTTTCTATAAAAAACTATTTCAACTTTTTTTTTTGAAATTGTAATTTCAGACACTGGTCAAAAATTGATAAATAATACACATATCGGGTACTTGATATGTACATGGTACGTCCCTAATATTGAGTATATATCAGGTACCCGATAGGTATAAAAAATATTTTATATATATATTGAGTATCTGATAAGTGTAAAAAAATATTTTCTATATACATCGGGTACCTGATATATACCCAATATTAGGGACATACCATGTACATATCGGATATCTGATATATATATTATTTATCAATTTTCAACCAGTGAGAACTTCAAAATAAATTTGTATGCAAGTATAGATGAAATAACAGATGATTGTTCATGAAGTGTTATAAACACTCTTTTTTCTTTTTGTCAAAATACAAAACTTGTTTCAGTTAATTTTTTGGATTGAGTTAATAATTCAACAATAAGTAAAACTCTATTATCCATTTTATCCAATTATGATATTCCATATTCTTTACCAAGATTATTTCTTACTGATTCTGCAGCATATATGAAAAAGAGTTACTGTGAAGCATTAAAATCAATAATGTCACAATTAATTTATGTGCCATGTTATGCACATATTATTAATCTCATCAGGTAAATATTAATTTTGAAACTATTCAAAAATTGATTTATTTATTAATTATTATTTCTATTAATGATATTTGATGAATCTTTTTAAGTTTTAGTTTATTAAAAATACTTTTATCAAAAATTAAGAAAACATTTGTAAATGCACCAGCTAGAGATGGTCGGCTCAATTAATATCAAGCTGGTTTAATTAATTGCGTCCTGACTAAATGATTTTGTTCTGGCTAAATTCTGGCTCAATTAATTATGCCAGCTAAATTCCAGTTCAATTTAATTGCGTCAGCTAAATTTAAGTTCAATTTAATTGTGCTAACCAAATTTTAAATCAACATAACTATTAAAATTTCACTATAATTTTTAAAATTCTCATTCTCTCTCTCTCTCTCTCTCTC